ATATCTACAATGCATATATCTAACAAAGAACTCTTATCTAAAATATATTAGTTTTTTTAAAAAGTTGTACATATAAATCTGAAAAAAACACTGAGCCCAATGGATACCTGAACAAAAAAACTTGAATTGGTCAATAAACATGAAGTTGTTGTTCAACTTTATTAATTTTCAGGGAAATGCAGATTTAAATGGTAACGTAATACCACTACACACCCACCACATCGATGATTAAAGTGAAAAATATGGAAAATGATAAAACACACCATAACTCTCATACAGTACTCACAGTACAAGTTATGAAAACTGGTATTATCTACTAATCCTGGGCTTGTGCATAAACTATGACCCAGCAATTTCACTTTTAGGTGTTTACCCCAAAGAATTAGATATATATGTTCACAAAAAGACATATAAAACATGGCAGTATTGCTTCTGATAGATAAGAATTATAGAAAAGCCAAATGCCATCAACAATGGAATGGATAAACTATGGTGTTTACTTATAAGAATGAAGAAAATGAAATTGCATGCCACAACATGGATAAATCTCACATAATGCAAAACTAAAGAAGCCAGACATTAGAGAATATATCATAAGATCATATAAAGTTCCATGTGAGTTTCTTTTATAAACTTGCAAGCTGATTGAAAAATTTATAGGGCAACACAAAGATGCAAGAATAGCCAAGATAAAATTAATCTGTGGTGTCAGAAATCTAGTAGGGAGGAGTGACTGGGGCAATGTGTAGGAGGAGACACAAAGGGTCCTGGAGTTTTGGTAGAGTTCTCTTTGTTGATGTGTTTGCTAGTTACACAGGTGTGTTAGTTTGGGGAAAATCTAGCTTTGAACTAGTGATTAACTTGTTTACATTTTTGTATGTATGTTGTAAGAAAACTAATGTACATGGAAAGCTATCTGCTTGTATGTGCATAATGGATCTCTGGTAAGATACACAGGAAACTGATAACATTGCTTGCTTCCGGGGAGTGTAACCAGAGGTCAGGGTTTGACTATGGAACCATGTGAATGTATTACCTATTCAAAAACAAGTGCAGTAATGCGCTGCATAACAACTTTTCAGTCAACAACTGACTGCATATACGATGGTCCCTTAAGATTATAATGAAGTTGAAAAATTCTCATCACTTAGTGACATCGTGGCCATTATAACAGTAGTGCAACATACTACTCATGTGTTTGTGGTGATGCTGGTATAATCAAACCTGTGC